TTTCGTCTAAAACTCATTGCAAATATCAATTTTGAGTGAATTATCTTTAGTAGTTACTAAAATATCGCCGTTTTCGTATTTCTTAAAATTACCGTTATATGGGAGGTAGGCGTGGTTATTATCCGATTTCGCCCATTTTCAATACCATCCGTCCCACGCCCAAAAGAAGTTCACGTACCAAGTTTCGTTAAGATATCTCAATTTTTACTCGAGTTATCGTGTGCACAGACGGACGGACGGACGGACGGACAGACAGTCACCGCTTAATCGATTTCTCTTTTCATTCTGATCATTTATGTATACATTTGTCTATATCTATCTCGATTCGTTTTGCCTGTTACAAACAACCGTTATGTGAACAAAGTTATAATACCCTTGTGCACAAGTGCGCTCGGGTATAAAAAAATGTTTGAGGTGTTATCTCAAAACTTGTTTGGTTAATAGTCATTTGGTTTAGAGAGGAGTTGGGATATTAGTTAGTTAGTTAGTACGGCTTGGTAAAGCACTCGGCGATTCAGTTACATACATAAATACTAGTACTAGTCTCGAAATAGTCCCGGGGGTCTACTCTGTATTGCGATTCAAAAAGCAAATCAGTCGGATTTAAATACTTGGCACCATGAATTTATATTAGTCGGTGTCGGCTTTTGAATCGTGTTGAGTTTAGCGTTTAAATGGTCGGAGCTAACACAAATCGACGCGTACAGAAAACGGCACTCAGACTACATGCCGTCCATTGTAAGTTTATATACTCCATTTTAATACATTTTAAAGCTACATGGTCTGCGTGGTTCAAGTTCTAGGCGACGCTGCAAGCAAGTTCCACAGCACCTTCCAAAAATACAGAAAGTTCGTTTTTAAATTTTTTCGTGAAAGACAACATTTAATCTTGTATTGCTAGATCCCTGAGAAACCCACTTTATTTTTAAGTTATTGAAGGATCTACTCGTAGCTGCGTACAGTGGGCCGTGAAAAATCAGTCATCTTTAAGGTATAGTCCAACATTGTGGAAGGTTCATGATTAAAGCCCTTTAGTTTCATACTTTTAAATTTGGCTAACGAGGATGTCCTAGTG